ATCTAGCACATTGCTGGGGCAAAGAGGCCGCTTTAATAAATGATGCACAGACAACTGGATAGTCATTTGTAAAAGATAAAATTAAATCCATTTCTCACAACTTTACACAAAAGTAAACTCTAAATGGATCAGAGATGTAAATGTGAAAGAAATGAAACTATAAGAGCACAAAAGGAAAGCAAGAAAACAAATTTTGCAATACATTATAGACAAAGGGCCAATATCCTTAATATAAAAGTTTTTAAAGAATTAATTTGGGGGGAAGGAACTAAAAATCCTAGAAAAATGGACAAAATACACGAACAAGCAATGCACCAAAAATGGCCCTTACATATACATTTACAAGTTCAACTTCATTCATAACAGAAATGAAAACTAAAACTACATGGAGATAATCATCCACTAGACTGGCAAAAAATCAAAAGCTTGACAATAAATTCTGATGGTGAGGATATGGAGAAATAGGCAGTCTTACACACTGTTGGCAGAAATACAAAACGAGGCAAACTCTCTGGAGGGAATTTGGCAGTATTTAGCAAAACTACATATGCATTCACCCTTTTACCCAGCAATCCCACCTTCTAGGAATCTACTCTGAAGATAAACTTCCAAAAATATGAAAATACTAATAAGGTTAATATTGCAGCATTATTTATATATTGTAAATATTGGAACTACTTAAATACCCATATGTAGGAGAATGATAGAATAAACCATGGTATTTAAATTCAATGGAGGACTGTGTAGCTATGAAAAACAGAAAAGACCTTTATAAAACTGTAGGGAATAATTTCTAGGATATATTGTTCGGAGTGAGAATATATATAGCATACAAATTTTTATATAAGAAAAATGGGGAAATTAAAAATACACATATCCACTTTTAGCAAAAAGAAATGCAGAAAGGATAAACAAGAATGAAACTGTTTACCTACAATGGATAGAGCAGAAAGAGGAGAAAGGGATGGGGCAACAGGGAAGGGAGTAAGATTTGAGGACACATGAATATATACTGAAGAAAATAATAAGGGGTAAAGGAGCATTACCCCTTGCAACCTACTCTCAAAAGACTGAAAAAAGTATGTAAGTGTGCATGTTCACGCTTGTATATGAATATATATGTGTGGTACATACACACAGAGTGATGAAATGTTAAAAATTGGTGAATCTGCGTAAAAGGTAAAAAGTACTCTATTATTCTTACACATTTTCCATAAATTTGTTATTATTTCAAAATTAAAAGTTTAAAAAACATGACCTGGTTTTAAGGCACTACTAAAAAGCTCAGAAATGAAGACTGGGATGATCAACCACTGGGCGTTTTCAGATATGTCTACGATGAATGGATAGATGTCATTTCACAAGTCCTATTTCCGGACTATTAAGACCAATAGACAAAAAAAAACCCCACAAAAAACCAACAGATGTGCAATTGCACCTCTTATTCCATTAGGCAATGGCTTTTTGCCTCTAGCAGCATTTGCGCAAAGTCCAGATACACCTCGCAATCAGTTCAAATGCAATCATAGGTAGGCTGAAGCTAGTTTTATAAGCTTACAGTGGAGAAAATACTGATTATTAAACAAAACAAACATGAAACTCTTGAAATTAAACAGGCACTGTGATCAAGGGTACTCAAGCACTAGTGTTAGGTAGCTGTACATGAATCATCAGCACTGCCTAGTGGCTCTGACAGGCAGAAGAGAGTGTGGCCTGGGCCAACCAGCCTAATATCCATTGTGCTTCTTTCATTTAATCAACTATTATGTGCAATCACCAGCCAAGAGCCCTTTGAATCTCACTTTACCACTTACGACATCAAGGCACACAGATTAAATATTCTTTTATTTGACCCAAATTATTATTGAGTGATAACATTTAAATTACACATCAGAAAGCAGTACAATTACCTCTTAAAACAGGCAATGATGGTTTAATTAAGAGTTTGATAAAGAAGATATGGAAAAATCAGGATGTCAAGAAAAGTATCAAGGTGAACATATACCTTGATACAAAGACTAAAATATTTGACTATACAATTTGGGGTTCTAATTCAACAATTTTTGTTAGTAGTCATGCCAAAAGTAACTGGAGAAATATATACATCATTGTTGAGAGGTTGTGTCTGGGGAGAGGATTATAGGGAAATACACACGTTTTGATAAAATTTCAATGTCTGAATTTTGAAGAATAAATATGCATTTCCTTTACGATTTAAACAGCTAAAATCAGATCTAGTTATCAGTCATGGCAATAGCAAGCTATGTGAACTGACTTCTTAAGAGGCTAAACTAAATCACTAGTATTTTCAGACCTAGCTATTAAACATTAAGTTCAGACTATTAAAAGAAAATGAGATAAGCAAATGATGAAATGTGGACATTTTTCATTCAAAATATGGAAGCTCTTTGGACTCAAAAAACCAACTCTTCATTCTATAAAATCTTTTATAATAACCTTAGTGGTAGTTAGCTTTCAAAAGCCACAAAATACTGTGAATTAAATGTATGAGATACAAAAGAGGACATCAGATTACATTGGGGGATGGTTATTTTTATTAAATTTAATTAATTAATTTATTTTTGGCCACGTTGGGTCTTCATTGCTGCGCGTGGGCTTTCTCTAGTTGTGTGGAGCAGGGGCTACTCTTCGCTGTGGTGCGAGGGCTTCTCACTGCAGTGGCTTCTCTTGTTGCGGAGCACAGGCTCTAGGCACTGTGGGCTTCAGTTGTGGCACGTGGGCTCAGTAGTTGTGGCACACGGGCTTAGTTGCTCTGCAGTATGTGGGATCTTCGCGGACCAGGGATCGAACCCATGTCCCCTTCATGGGCAGGTGTATTCTTAACCATTGTGCCACCAGGGAAGTCCCGTTATTTTTAAATATAGTACATTTCAACAGAAAACTTTTACAATGGGAGACTTTATTCCATTTTTCTAATAAAGAGTTTTTCCTCTTTGTTTATTAAAACATAAAACGTTTTCTTCTTGACCCTTTACATGTAAAATTTATCAATTTTACGGGCAATTTCCTGGCAATTTCACCAGGCTGAGCCAGGTGAAATATGTCAAGCAATTTACACATAAAATCAGAAAGCTAACTTTGGTTTTACTGCATAGTTTAGTATGCACAGGTTCCAAATTTACTGCAAAACTACACTGACTTAAGTTTAAATTTGGAAGCACCACCTTGTGGCAAAAGTAAGAACTTCTGAATTGCAGGAGTCAAGATGCGTTTCCAGGAGAGAACACTGGTGGGCTTCTGAGGCATTGGTCAAGTTCTATTTCCTGACCTGTATAGAGAATGCCATGAGGCTCACTTTATCATTATTTGTTAAAGCACATGACTTTTCTGTTATTGCAGGTCATAATTTTAAAAGTTTAGGGAAAAAATGTCCAATTTGTACCCAAATTGAAAGTCGTATGCCTAAATGCTTGAATTTTCTAAGTACCAGTTTTATTTCCTAGAATTGTAAATGCACTATTGTATTTTTGATACATAACAAAATGTCAGAAAGAGGGATATTCTTTGGTAAACGATGGAAAGATTTTTTTCCCTCAGAATGTTTTCACTGAGGTCCTGTCTCAGCCTCGAGGAACTGTAGGGGCTCTGCAGTCATCTGGAAATCACCGCTACACACCTATCCCAACATGTCTGAGAACTGTCCAAAAAACCCTAGACTTCACTGCATCAATACAGAATATCAAGGATATGTGGCATATTTAACTATGCAGCAATATTCATCAAAAAAGGTTTTTCTTTCCTATTTACTGTATTTCCAGGAGGTGACACACGCTATTCACAAAATGACCTGAATTGGCTGAGAGTTTCACCCTCTCTCACTGCCATGGAATCACTTCTCCTAGGAGCTAACAGAATCACATTTAGTACCTCTTTCATACCGTAGAGCAGTTTGTAGGAAGGGAGAAAGCCTTACTCTTTTTTTCTCAGGAACCTGTCAGGACGCATTAGTGACCATCTCCCTCACTATGACCCTCACCCCAGCAGGTGACATCTCACTGGCAGGTGAGAAGAGCCATTGGCTGAGTCTTCCCAGACAGCCACCCAAACCAGCTTCCATCCCACCATGGAGAGCAACTCTTACTCATGATTTCATCTTTGCTTCATTCAAATACCGGGAATATTAAAGATGGGAGCAGATGTGTCTGAGAATCTTTCACAGGACAAGGCCTTCTGCTGAGTTAATGCAACCGCTAAAATAATCCTTATGCTCAAGTGAGGCACAGAAAACATTTTTAAAGAAACTAAGGCTACGTCGCAATTCTTGACTTAGACCCATTACAAGGGCTATGATATAGAGGCAGTCACTAAGCAAATGCTGTCTTTCATAGTTTGACACATTCTAGGTATGAATATGCCAATAATCAGGAATATCACTCAGTCTAGCGTTTGTTTCTACATATAAAGAAATGTCAGGCTGTTGTACCACCAAGATCTATAACTTCCTTAAGGAGTCTTGAATATATAGCTGCACTGTTAGATGAAAAGAAGGAATACTCTCAGGGAGTCTTTAAACAGAGACTTAGAAAGGAGAATGGGATTATTGAACTTAAATCTGAAGAAGTCAAATTCTTAGGTCCCCTGAATACATGTAAGAAAATGTAACAGGAGCTGCTTCTCTAAGATTTTGGAATTGCCCATGCTCAATGTTAAGATAAAATATTAATGAGAAAAAAATTATATATATTAATGAGAAACCTTGGCATTGATATTCCACAGAAGTTATATTTCAATATGTTTATCTAATATAACCATAAGGTTCAAGTAACCACTCTATCTAAAAAAAAAAAACAAAACAAAACTCTTCAGTAGCTTCTAAGAAGATACGGTTAAATTATTTTAACCCTTTCCTCCTAGAAACAGGTGAGAGAGAGAGGAAGAGAGAGAGAGAGAGAGAGAGAGAGAGAGAGAACCATTAATAATAGAAAATAATGGGAAAATTACCACCATTCAATGGGAACATAATCCTCTGGAATCTTTGCTACAACTGGAATAAAAAACAATAATTCTGACAGACTTTATTTTTTGATACAAACTTATATCTAATTATTCAAAGTACAGGGTATATGTAATCATTCAAAGTTTCTGGCTGATACTATCACAAGCATTAGAAAAAGAACATATACTGAGTAACAGACAGTGAGCTTAGGCACCGTTTCATATAAATTGTTTTACCTGCAGGAAATCCAGGATGTCTAGAAATTACGAAAATTATAAAAAGGACTAGATTCTATAAGCTCTTTTCCTCAACTTTGGCTAAATATAATAACCTTAAAATACTGGCACAGTCTTTGATTATAAAGCAGAAACATACAATGGTAGATTTATTTTAGTCCTTACTCAAGACTGTATTTAAGCAAAGCTCTCACTCGGTAAGACATACTGATGTATGTCACAAAAACAACATTCTAAGTTTTATGGAGCATTTATAGAACAGGTAATGTTAACAACCAGATTAAAAAATAAGGAAAACCAATGCTATTCTATATGCCCTTGAGCTGGGAAGTCTCTCAAATAATGAAGTCATGTTCAGGAAATGATATTCAAAAACATAAATTTTTATACATTAGTTTCTCTGTTAAGTAAGAATCATTCAAATTCTTCAGTTAACAGCAATACTCAAAAAATCTTCAACTGGTAAACTCGTAGTTTGCAACGTTTCGATTTTTCCTGAATCTTGAAAACTTCAAACTGCCATTAAATATATTATCTTCTGTTTCTTCTTACAGAACTAAGGTTCATAAAAGGATCATCATCATCCTGGAATGACATCCAAATGTACAATTAGTGACTGTTCCACGCTTCACTGAAACAAGACAGAAGTTCTTATGGGCAAAACAATACCAGTAAGAGCCATTTTCTCCTTTCACATGGGGTAGACTTTCATTTTTCTATTTCCTTTATAAATATGAATAGTTTGTCAATTTTTTTCTCGTCCTCCCTTCCTTAGTAGCTATTTCATTGTTAAAACAATGAAAGTCCAACTAAATTCTTAGCAAGCATTAAAAATAAAAATGTATCCTGCTCTATATGTGTGTATATATATAAGCCCACAATATATATCATATATATTTCTCTCAATTATTCACCTTAATAAAAGCAAATAAGGCATGGGCAAGACAAAAAAACAAACAAACAAAAACTCTTCAAGTCATTTCTATTAGGTTTTTAAATAGCTTTTTTTTTTTTTCCACTTACATTTTATAACTGGTATATCTGATGCTCTAGAAATTCAGAGCCAAAAAAATAATGAAGCCACATGACCTAATTCAGAAATAGCTGTAATTTTTATTTCCATTACCCATTTAATGCTAGAAATAGACAGCTACTCTCAGACTGGTACAAGAAACAACCTAGGAAAGCAATCTTTCAAATATTTTTTTTGGAAAAATAAGTAGAGGAACTATTTAGTTTCAAAGACTTCCCATGCTGCTGGGACGTAGATTATATGCATAGTAAGAACAGGCAGGAATATCAGATGTTAACTAAGAATTTAATTAGAGAGAATGAAAACTAAACCTTCGATAAGCCCCAAATACATAATTTGATGAGGTTAACATATAATCAATGATATACATTCTATAACTATTCAAAAGAGAAAGCAAATTTGTAAAGTTTTGGTTTATGTTTCCTTTAAGACATTAATAAAAAGGGATAATTATTTGGTGTTAGGCTCTGCTGGTGATATCAGCATGTTCCAGTGTTCGCTAAATTAGCTATCTCTAGTGAGATATGGATGCCTTGAGAAACACAAATTCACTCTCACTTATTGATTCATTTTCTGCTACCATAAAAGGCAGAACTCATTAATAAACCAGAGATAAATCCAAACTATAGTAGAGAATTTTCTAATAGTTCTCCTTTGTAGCTAACGTGAACTATATGAATTTCTGTAAGTAACATATAACCACATGTGTATCTAGATGCTTTGGAATTAACCAACGGGTCAACAACTGCCCACTTCTCTCCTGGAGGCAACATGCTAGTATTTAATAGGCAGACTGAGCTCATGGTGCCATTTTTCTTTGCAGCCTGAGTTCTGGGGCGTCTTCTCTTCAAGCTGTTTCAAAACCACAGCTGGGACACAGAGAACACGACGGCAGCAGATGAAGCTCAAAACCAAAGGTGTGAGTCATGTGGTACGACAGGGATGAACCTGGAGGACACTATGCTCAATGAAATAAGCCAGGCACAGAAAGACAAATGCTGTATAATTCCACTTATATGAAGTATCAGAGTAGTCAAAATCATAATGCACAAAGTAGAAGAGCCCCTTGCCAGGGGCTGAGGAGAGGGGAAAATGAGGAGATGTGGTTCAATGGGTATAGATTTTTGGTTTGGGAACATGAAAAGGTTCTGGAGACTGTTGCACAACAGTGTGAATATACTTAATATTAGTGAACTAACTGTACACTTAAAACTGGTTAAGATGGTAAGTTTTATGTTATGTGTTTCTACCACAACTGAAAAACACCACCATGTACCACCTTAAATATACAGGAAATGTGTAGAGCATACAGTGAACATTTAATAAACATTCTGTTGTAGAGTAACATTAAAGGCTTTCACGATATCATCACCATTTCTCCAAACATAAACAACAGAAGCTGAAAAAACTATTCTGATCCTACTGTTAACTGGGCAAGTTAAAGAAGAGCTGAGTGATATTATATGTTAAAGATCTGCAGGTCTTTCACATCTGAGGTATTTCCATCGATGAGCACTCAACAGAGGCCACTCATTGACTCAATATTAACTATGGTTCAAAGGAAGGTGATCAATGAAACTATTTTTAGAAATAATTTTCGGCAACTAGCTTAGCAGTCCCTATTCAGATTTTATAAACATTTAAGAATTATTTAAGACTTAACGTATTACGTTATTACCTCATCTGATTCAAAATCAACCCCTTTAGTGATTTTGCTCCGGGACGTGTGTTTGCTCGATGATGAAGTGCTCAACCACCTGAGGCAAAATGTGAGAAAAACAGAGAAAATGAACCAAAGAATTCATCACAGAAGGCTTTTGAGCTAAGTTTTTCATTTTAGTAGCAGCCATGAATAAAAATGACTAACACATTCCCTTCGAGCTACATTAGAGGCAGTAGAAGCTTAGTGGCAATGAAAAGGACTCTGATGTCAGGGTCTGAATTCCAGTTCTGCCATTTAGGAGCTACACGGCTTCAAGCAGCTTAGCCTCCCTGTGCCGCAATTTCCTCACCTGTAAAACGAGGATGATAAGAATTTTTTTTTTAATCTTTTTTTTAGATGTTGGGGGTAGGAGTTTATTAATTAATTTATTTTTATTTTTGCTGTGTTGGGTCTTCGTTTCTATGCTAGGGCTTTCTCCAGTTGTGGCAAGCGGGGGCCACTCTTCATCGCGGTGCGCAGGCCTCTCACTATCGCGGCCTCTCTTGTTGCGGAGCACAAGCTCCAGACGTGCAGGCTCAGTAGTTGTGGCTCACGGGCCTAGTTGCTCCACGGCATGTGGGATCCCCCCAGACCAGGGCTCAAACCCGTGTCCCCTGTGTTAGCAGGCAGATTCTCAACCACTGCGCCACCAGGGAAGCCTGATAAGAATTTTTTAAAGATTAAATGTGTTTATATACTTAAACACTTTGCTCAGTGCCTGATACACATGAAGCACGCCACAGATGTTTGCTGACATCATAGTTCTTAGCATATATTAACATGTACCTACTACCACCCTCTACTCCTGAAAACTATGGCAATACTGAAATATTTTAAATCAAATCTCAGTTACGTTTCTGTAACAGGATAAAAGGACCTTAGGAAAGGCTCACCGCTTTCTAGGGTTGCCTCACTGTTAATATTATTTGTGTCCAGTCCGAATAACAAATATTTACTTAGTGCTTGACCCCAGGTACTATGATAGGCCCTGGGAAACATCAGTAAGCAAGATAATCAGGAATCTACTTTTATGAAGCTTAACGTGTAGTGATGGAACTCATATTCCTATGTATTTTTACTAACAAAAATTTTAAGTCATCTTAGGACAGGGGCCAGCAAACTTGGCTAGCACACCAAATCCAGCCTACCTGTTCCTTACAGCCTGTGAGCTAAGAATGGTCTTCACATTTTGAAATGGGTATATTTAAATGGTTATATAAGCACCTACATAATACCCCCAGTTTTGCCTCTTGGCCCGCAAAGCCTAAAATATTCACTCCCTGGCCCTTTAAGAAAAGAGTCTGCCGGCTCCTGTCTTAAATAAAAGCAGTGTCTGTGAACTCTTAGCCAACAATTTATTACCATGCTTTGGGATGTTACTATAGCAAACAAAATATATCTAAAGGGCTTGTCTGGACAAATTGTTGAGAGTCAAGAGGTCTATGCATCAGAAGGAAACAGAAAAATCCACAGGCTCTTAGGCACAAAAGTAAAGGACAGGAGGATTTGCCGAGCAAACCTGAAGAGCAACATAGCTTTGGAGGTAGAGGATCAAGGAATTTATCAACCAATCTACCTGGGAAGTCCCCAACTCTCTGTACTTGACCTAAGCAGGAGCTGATCATTGTTGACTTGTTTCCATCATCTGTGACAGGAAGAAGCAGATCAAAAGCATGAAGCCACAGTGCCAAGGCTAGCCACAGCAGGTGAGGCATTGTTGCTGTGAGAGCTGGGGAAAGAGGGGGGTTATGGGAAGAAGCAGCCACTGAGGCCTGACTCTGCTTGCTGATGTCTCCCCAGACAAATAACCAGTGGTGTCCAGAAACAAGCCAGGCATTCTACACCAGATGCTGGCTCATTTGATCATAGCAGGAGCCCCCAATTCTGCACCAGAGGACCTCACACACCTACAGATCCAGTCTATGAGAGGTCCCCTATCCTCAGAGAGCAGTGGCAGGAAGGGAAGAATAGTTATACAGTTTTGACTACTGGGTCAAATAAATGGACTCTTGTCCTGGATGTCAAAAAATGTTTAATTGGATTAGTTTCCTGTGGATTGCTCAAAAATAAGGCAGACAGGGGGTATTACATTGAGTGCCAGGAGCTGTAAGTCTTCTCCATTTTTGTACAGATATAATTTGGAGGCACAAGTCAGAATTCCTACCTAGAGATGTTCAGCCAATTATGTCAGTTGTAGCAGCATCACAAGCATAAGAGAACATGTTAAACTGGCCTACATAAAAGGTGCCCCCAAAATGTTGGCTCCCCCCGCTGCAAGGTTTAATAGAATCCCCTCCATCTCTCCTCCTCTACCTGGCCTGATGGGGCCAGGTCTTATCTTGCTCACTGCTTTAAGGTCGGCGGGGAGGGGAAGGTTGCCACCAGCTCTATCAAATCTGGAAGGGTCCTTTTGTCCCTAGTACAACCATGTAGAGTTTGGTGCAGTTTTTCCAGGGGAAAGTGGGTGGATTTCCACTGCCCATCCAGCAGAAAGGAGTTTTACACCTGGAAGTTCTTTCCTTTTTAAGTCAACTACCAGAATATTAGTGCTTTTACTGCTTACCATTCTTTCCATTATTCTTGTTCTATTTCCCTAGCCTGTTATTTCTTCAATAAGCCCTTCTAGAGGTGTTACTATGTGTTAAGTGCTGTACTTAGCACTTCACAAATATTAACTCACTTTAAAGCCTCATAACAACACTTTGAGGTAAATATTATTATCTTCATCTTACAAATGAGGACACTGAGGCACAGAAGTCAAAAAAACTTGCACAAGGTCCACACTCAGTAAGTGGTAGAGCTTAAATACTTTAAATCATGAGTGAAATACCTATACACACTGTGCGATTACTAAACAATTCTTCAAAGACAGCATAAATTGCGTCACCCAGTTGCTGTCATCAGGAACACAAACCTGCCAAGGCTGATTTCAGATTTCTCGCCAAAATGTTCGTTTCTAAATCTCCTCTCGTCAATTAAATGATTCTTATTACATGCACAGAGGTCTGAGAGCTTAATCTATTATGTGAAGAAGCAACAGCAGAGGATGGGCCTAGAGATGATCATACTAAGCGAAGTAAGTCAGAAAGAGAAAGACAAATATCACATGATATCACTTACATGTGGAATCTAAAATACGACACAAATGAACTTATCTACAAAACAGAAACAGACTCACAGACATAGAGGACAGATTTGTAGCTGCCAAGGGGGAGGCAGGTGGGGGAGGGATGGAGTGGGAGTTTGGGGTTAGCAGATGCAAACTATTATACTGATACACAGGATGGATCAACAACAAGGTCCTACTGCATAGCATAGGGAACCATATTCAGTATCCTGTAATAAACCATAATGGAAAAGAATATGAAAAAGAATATGTATATGTACAACTGATTCACTTTGTTGTACAGCAGAGATTAACACAACATTGTAAATCAACTATACTTCAATAAAATTTTAAAAAAAAAGAAAAGAAGAAGCAGCAGCAACAGCAGAGATGAGTCCTGGAGCAGAATGCTTGGCTCCGTGACTGGCTGTGTGACCTTAGGTAAGTTACGTAGACTACCACGCCTCACTTTCTTCAAAGGTAAAAGGGGGAAAATAGAGTTATAAGTACATTTACCTCCTGGAGTGACTGTGACCAGCAAATAAGCTAATTCATAGGCAAAGGCTCAGAATGGTACCTGACACACAGGAAGTGCTGAAAGCTGAAACAGAATATTAACAAAATACAAAGCTATTTTCTGTTAATTGGAGAGGACATAGCACTCCAGCAAGAAAATCACTGGGTAATAAAGGCAAAAGGAAATGAATGACAAGTTATTCAAATTTTCAGTGAAAATACTTGTAATAATGCTGCACTGACTCCACGACTACCCCTTGGTCTATTTTTCACTTTTGTACATACGTGACTAGCTGAAAATAAACCTGTTAGACTTCCAGGGCTTCCCTGGTGGCGCAATGGTTAAGACCTGCCTGCCAATGCAGGGGACATGGGTTTGAACCCTGGTCTGGGAAGATCCCACATGCCACAGAGCAACTAAGCCCGTGTGCCACAACTACTGAGCCTGCGAGCCACAACTACAGAAGCCTGCACGCCTAGAGCCCGTGCTCCGTAATAAGAAAAGCCACTGCAATGAGAAGCCCGCACACCGCAATGAAGAGTAGCCCCCGTTCGCAGCAGCTAGACAAAGCCTGTGTGCAGGAATGAAGACCCGACACAGCCATATATACATACATACATAAATAAAATTTTTTAAAAAATCAGACTTCCGTAGCATAGAGAAATGTATATGTTGAATTCTGGATAATTTTTAATTTTTTCAGATGTTCCTTTTTGCAGGAAGTCACTGCACCAACCTTTGATCAGCTTTGGAAGTGGTAGGAAAAATGTCTTCTTCCGTATCTGACTCACCTACCACAATCACCTAAGAGGGAGAAACAAAACAGCAAATAGTCTTTGTGGGAATGGAAAATCTGAATAAAAATGCATTAACTAATGTCAAAAAATATATATTTTTACAAAAAGTTACAAAAAAGGAGGCAGATACCATGTAAGCAATAACCATGAAAACTAAAGCTCTGCCTAACTTCCCCACTAATGTCACTCTTCATTTACAAATGGTTTTTTTTATATAACATGTGTGAGCTCACTTCTCTCCTGCTACCACGGCAGCCTGGGTACCTAAAGGAACATGCACTCAGATTGGTGAATGACTCACACTGGGTCATGTGCGGACAGTGCCCTGTGATTTTCTTGGGTTCTAGGCCATCGGTGCTTCATCTCCAATTTTAAATGAGGTATAAGACTGTGTGGGAAGTACCGGATATCTGTTTTTCTGTTACATTTATCCCTGTTAAATACCACTTGCTGCTTTTAAGCCCCATGAAAGATATTTGTGATTCTTGATACTATCATCCAAATTACTACCTACTCCTCTACATTTTGTGTGATCTTGACACTTAATACACACATTTGCCATGTCTTCATCCAACTGATAAAGCCAAAGACAAAATAGTGAAAAAAGCAGCACTTGAGACCCACCCCTACCCAAGGCTGACATTGAACTATTAATCAAAGACCGTTAAATGAAGTTGTCTAAATGGCTATGAATCCAGCCAATATCTCTGCATTTTGTCCATGAAACTATCAGGAGATTGTCTTAAGTGCCTTGAAGGGATCAAATGCCTTCAGCATTCCCCTGATCTACCACTATGTCACCTCAATCAAAAACATGAAAGAAAAAGTTACCATGACTTGCTCTTTCTGAACTCATGTTCTTGCATTATAAAAGAAAAATCTAGAAGGGAAGCTACCTTGTGGACATGATGATAATTCTGTTTTCAGATATGATCCTGAAGCGATAGCAGGCAATAGTTGAACAGGAATAATGAAATGGAGCTCAGGATAGAAGTTAGCACCAGTATACCCATATATAATTGTATAATAATGAGAGGAAAAAACAAAAAAACAGAGAAGAAGTTTTCTGGAAGAGGAGGTGGTCAATTGTGTCACATACTCAAGAGATCAAGAAGGAGTGAAATTTAAGAAAATGCTGGTGGGGCAGTATGTTATAGAGCAACGATTCTCAACTAGGTGTGATTTTTAACTCCCCCTCCCATCCCAGAAACATCTGGACATGTCGGGAGACGTTTTGATTATCATAACTAGGGGGGACACCCCAGGCATCTAGTAGGTAGAGGCCAGGGATGGTGCCTGGGAAGTAAGACACATGTGTTTTGAAAGAGAGGTAACAGGAGAATCAAGTCCATTCTGGACTCTTCTTGGAATCCAAAGGAAGAGCAGAAGTTTCATGTTAAATCTAGAGCTGAACACAGAGGTCCGTAGACTCAGACCTTGTAGCTTGTCTTGAGTCTGGCTTCAGCCATTAAGACACAAGCCAGAGTATTATGAGAGTATAAGTAACAAAAGGAAGCCAGCAATAAATAAGACCTCTCTACGCACTGAACGCCCATCTTCAATCATAGTTTTCCATGCATGGACTCTTTTGGTTCAACGTTATTATCCTTAAAAATATTACTGGGTACATACATTTATGGGTGTCCAATCATGCGATCCATTATTAAAGAAAGAAAAAGAGAAACCCTCCTCCCGCGCAGAAACCCTAGAAGCCCTCAGTCTAGATAATCAGTAAAGTTCTCTGCAGTTTTAATGTTCCACATTTTTTCTTCTTTTATTTACTTTGCAGACCAAAGAACTGACAATCATAATGTAGGAAACATAAATTGGTACACAATTAGAAAACTTTTTTTCTTACCTCTGAATAATTCTTAGTAGCAGCATTTTGGGAGGGCTGCTGTCTTGCAGCTTTAAAGGCTATAATGAAAAAGATGAAACATCCATTATGTTATTCTTAAAAAAGCTTAGAAAAATTTGCACATTTCTTTAGCTGAAGGTTTCCTAAGTCCTATCTGCAAAAATCCATGACGACTGATTATAAAACCACTTAATATGCTTTAAAATCGGGAGATGGAATTATATGTCTAACTACCAGTCTAACTGGTATTTATATGTCTAACTACCAATTATATGTCTAACTACCAATGATTTCCCGGTTTACTCAAATAAAGTAGTAAGCAGTGTTCATAAATACACCTACACTAAAAATATTTTATAGAAAAATACCTGAAGGATAAAATCTGATCACCTAATGGACTGAACTCCAAATACAGTGAAAGTAACCCTCCTCAGGTCTGCCTTCTTATAGCTGGCAATCTCTTTCCCTGTGGGAGCCACATGGTTCCAGTAAGCGCTTCCTTATTCTCCTCTACTTTGTTAGAAATATTCAGTACCTAAGAAATAGTCCAGAGGGAATGCTAGAAAACAGCCTATCTTTCATTCCATGATAACCTTCCTATGAATCCTTACATTTTCAGCTTTGTAAACTTGGTTAGAAACATGAAATTTAGTTCATTTTTATTTTTCCTGAGACCAAAACTATAATATTTTGATTTCACAGTAAGAAATATACATTTGGTCTTCATCCACATTTCTGGCAGAGAGCCCCTAAAACCCTAAATTCCTAAAGCAATGAGAGCCATCAAGGTTCTTTTTGTTATGTTAATGCGGTAACTTTGGGACCACAACTGAGGAGAGAGGCTGGTTACCAGGGGAACCAACCAGGAAGAGGGTTCGAACTTTCAGTCCCATCCCCGATTTCTGGGGAGGGAAGAGGAGCTAGAGGTTGAATCAATCACCAACAGCCAATGATTTAATCAATCATTCCTACATAGAAACCCAAAAGGAAGGGGGTTCAGAGAGCTTCCAGGTGGTGAATCAAGATGCTTCCACGTGCCACCATGCTTGGACCCCAAACTCGATGAGGACAGAAGCTCCTCTGTTCTGGGCTTCGCCCTATACATCTCTTCATCTGGCTATTGATTCATATCCTTTCATATCTTTTGTAATAAACCAGTAATCTAGTGAGTAAACTAGTTTCCTGAGTTCTGTGAGCCACTCTAGCAAGTTAACTGAATCCAAGGAGGGAGTCATGGGGACCTCTGATTGATAGCCTATTAGTCAGAAGTACAGATAACAACCTGGACTTGTGACTGGCATCTGAAGTAGAGGGGGGCAGTCTTCTGGAACTGAGTCCTTCCCCTGTGGGATCTGATGCTGTCTCTAGGCAGGTAGTGTCAGAATTGAGTTGACTTGCAGGACACCCAGCAGGTATCTGAGGACTGCTTGGTGGTGTGGGTAACCACCCCCCCTCACACACACACACCCCCACTGGAATTAAGTGCAGATTATTAAAAACCTAGAATAAAATTTAAAGAGCCAATTAGAGGTTTAATTTTCTCCTACGCCTTACCAGTTTCCTAATACAAAAATGGTTTCCCCCAAGATAACCCCCAAACTAAACAACAGAGCAGGAGGAGATAAAAAGACAGAGGACTTGAAGAAGTCAAATGCTCAAAGAACCCTACAAAGTCCAAAATTCTCCTAGTCAGAAAACTCAGGAATCTTTCCACCTAGCCCAAATTTATGATTTACTCATTTTTCCTATTCCAGGTTCTATCCCCAATCTTAGGATGGCTACCTGAGAGAAAGGAAAGGCAGAAGCAGAGTTCTTAACCACCCTACTCAATCACTAGCCTCACATCCTACTCTACTCAAAAGGCTGGAGAGGGCATCTGAATGCAAAGGCCAACAATCGTGACTCTTTCAAAAACTATTTCTGCTCAATCGTTATTCACTAATTGACCCCTCAAACTCTCGGCTCCTGGAAGAAACAAGAGCCTTCCTTTCTTTTTATCCCCAATAAATATTTGTGTGATAAATTAACATTATCAGAAAATTAAGCACTCGGTTCTGTTAGGAAGGCAATACATACTGTATTGGGGATTAAAAGCTCTGGTTTTAGAGTTAGAGCCATGTGGACTCACTAGCTGGGTGACTGGCCAAGTTCCTTGGCTTCTTCAAGTCTCGGTTTCCCCACCTATAAAACAGTGTTAATAATACTTCATGCTGAAAATTGTTGACAGGATAAAAAGAGGTGGTTAATGTAATTTGTTTTGGCAAGCGCCTAGATGTAGTAGGTCTTCAAATGATTTCGCTAGTAATAGTGGATGGAGTAGCAGCAGTGGTAACCATGGTATAAATTAAATGCAAAGACAGAGGCTTCTTTTATTAACTTAGTCACTATCCTCTGCAGACAAACTTCAGTGGAAAAGTCTGGGCTGATAACTCTCATTCACAACCGCTGCTGGCTGTAAGTGTAATTTCTACCTTTCCCCGTAAAACTCCAGTACTATTGTACAAATCTTTACACTCCATGGAGCTTGTTATAATAGGATTGAACATTTATTTATCTCTTCATTCCTCCACTTATAATACGAACGTAGAAGCTATAGTTTAAAGTTGCTTTTTTTTTTGTAACCAAGCTTCATTTTTTAAAAAAAATTTTTCATTGCTTTTATTTATTTATTTACATCTTTATTGGAGTATAATTGCTTTACAATGGTGTGTTAGTTTCTGCTTTATAACAAAGTGAATCAGTTATACATATACATATGTTCCCATATCTCTTCCCTCTTGCGTCTCCCTCCCTATCCCACCCCTCCAGGCGGTCACAAAGCTGATCTCCCTGTGCTATGCGGCTGCTTCCCACTAGCTATCTACCTTACGTTTGGTAGTGTATATATGTCCATGCCTCTCTCTCGCTTTGTCACAGATTACCCTTCCCCCTCCCCATATCCTCAAGTCCGTTCTCCAGTAGGTCTGTGTCTTTATTCCTGTCTTACCCCTAGGTTCTTCATGACATTTCTTTTTTCTTAAATTCCATATATATGTGTTAGCATATGGTATTTGTCTTTCTCTTTCTGACTTACTTCACTCTGTAGGACAGACTCTAGGTCTATCCACCTCATTACAAATAGCTCAATTTCGTTTCTTTTTATGGCTGAGTAATATTCCATTGTATATATGTGCCACATCTTCTTTATCCATTCATCCGATGATGGACACTTGGGTTGTTTCCATCTCCGGGCTATTGTAAATAGAGCTGCAATGAACATTTTGGTACATGACTCTTTTTGAATTATAGTTTTCTCAGGGTATATGCCCAGTAGTGGGATTGCTGGGTCATATGGTAGTTCTATTTGTAGTTTTTTAAGGAACCTCCATACTGTTCTCCACAGTGGCTGTATCAATTTACATTCCCACCAGCAGTGCACCCTCTCCACACCCTCGCCAGCATTTATTGTTTCTAGATTTTGTGATGATGGCCATTCTGACCGGTGTGAGATGATATCTCATTGTAGTTTTGATTTGCTTTTCTCTAATGATTAATGATGTTTAGCATTCTTTCATGTGTTTGTTGTCAATCTGTATATCATCTTTGGAGAAATGTCTATTTAGGTCTTCTGCCCATTTTTGGATTGGGTTGCTTGTTGTTTTGATATTGAGCTGCATGAGCTCCTTGTAAAATTTGGAGATTAATCCTTTGTCAGTTGCTTCATTTGCAAATATTTTCTCTCATTCTGAGGGTTGTCTTTTCGTCTTCTTTATGGTTTCCTTTGCTGTGCAAAAGCTTTTAAGTTTCATTAGGTCCCATTTGTTTATTTTTGTTTTTATTTCCATTTCTCTAGGAGGTGGGTCAAAAAGGATCTTGTGATTTATGTCATAGAGTGTTCTGCTTGTGTTCTCCTCTAAGAGTTTGATAGTTTCTGGCCTTACATTTAGGTCTTTATTCCATTTTGAGCTTATTTTTGTGTATGGTGTTAGGGAAAGTTGCTTTCATCCCAAACTTATAGTAACTATAGTTAGTACTCCATGGTTATTTTGTCAGAGACCATATTAAAAAGTCAGTTCCGTTTTTCAAAAAAAGGCCAATGTTGGAGTTAAACTGCAAAACCATTGGACCAAATCAACTGCATAAAAGACAAATTTAGACTGATTTATAGAAACATCCATTATCATGAGTTAATTGTAAACACTGTCACTAATACTAACAGCAGCAGTCATTTATTGGATTCTTTCTAAGTGCTGTGCTCAGTAATGGTTATGCATAGCTCATTTAACACTTATAACTACTCTGGGAAGTTAGTACTCCTCCTCCAGTGGGAGGACACAGTGAATAGGTCATACATTTATTTAATTGAAGTCTTGGAAAGAAAAAGAATAGCACAGAGGTAATATCTGAAGGGATAAGAGCAAAGGATTTCTAGAAATGATAAAAGGCACCAATTCAGTTTCATGAAACCCCATAAATCCTAAGCAGGATAAAAAGAATCCCATATCTAGATTCATCATAGTGAAAGTACAGAACACCAGAGACGGCCAGCCAGAGGAGAAACAGATTACTTCAAATAAAGCAACAAGCTAAACTAAGAGCTGATTTCTATTTTTTTTTTTTTTTTTTTGCGGTACCGGGGCCTCTCACTGTTGTGGCCTCTCCCGTTGTGGAGCACAGGCTCCAGACGTGCAGGCTCAGCGGCCATGTCTCACGGGCCCAGCCGCTCCGTGGCATGTGGGATCTTCCCGGATCGGGGCATGAACCCATGTCCCCTGCATTGGCAGGCGGACTCTCAACCACTGCGCCACCAGGGAAACCCAATAGCTGATTTCTTAATGACAACAATGGAAACCTGAAGACTCAATCTGAGTGATTAATTCTGCCCACTGGTGTCAAGGAAAGTTTCACATAAAACAACAAAGCCATGATGAGAAAAGGCAGTTTGGGCTAAGGTAAAGGCAGGTAATTTACAAAGTCTATGCCTCTGTGTTGCACGCTGACCAACTTTTGGTAGTTTAACTGGAAGTGTTCATATTTTACTCACGATCCTCTTCTAACGCCCTCTGTTTTCTCTTTTTTTATAATAG